CCAATGGTGTGACCAGCTTCCACCCTCATCTACCCATGGCACAGTCCCTGCTCTCTGACAATTTGGAGCCACGCCAATGTGAGACAGGGGCTAGCTGCTCCAATTTGGTGCACTGTTTTGGTGTCTGGATTCAGGTAGGCTCGGCCTAAGACCTACGGATCCTACAGAGCCACCATACCAGCATTTACCCACTCACCCTGCCCTCAGCTGCCCTGTGGTCCTAACAGACACTCCATCAAGGGCCTTCATGAACTACTTCTGAACTGAGCGCCCTGAATACACACAGCATGGAGGTCAGCAGGTACTCCATCTAGGGCCAGGAACTCCGCAGTCACATCCCTCCCACACCCTCCTTGGAGCCCCTGGCTTGCAGGAGCCCCCAGAGTTTTCTCCACTCTGGGTCTAATAGCTACACGGTCTTTAATATTTTTGTTTTGGGGTTTGGCTTATTTTTGTCATTTCATTGTTTTTATTTTTCTATTCTTACTCCTCCTACTTCATCTTTTCTATTTCCGTAAATTTTATCCTCTCTGCTTTTGTTTTTACTTCTTTTCTTCTACTTTTCATTTCTCCTCTTTTTCCTTTTGATCTTTCTTTACTACTCACTACTCTTTTCCTCTTTTCATCTCCCTTCCTACTGGTTTTTCTGTTTTTTTTTTTTTTTTCTTCCTTTTAATCCCTCTTATTTTTTCTTCTACAACTCCATTTTCCTGCCCCTCTTTTTAATTACTATTAAGAGTTGTTTTTTTTTTAAATTGATTCCTTTTATTTTCTCTTAGTTTTCTCTTCTATAGCTCTATAGTCCTGTCCCTCTTTTGATCTTATGGTGGTTATATTCCTTTTTTCTAGATGCTGCCTGTTTTTATTTTTTTTTCTCTGTATCATTTTAGCTTTTCATTGTTGGATCCCTAATTATTGTTGTTTTCTTGTATATGTGTTTGTGTGTAAAAGGTTTTTTTCTTTCCTACCTGACAGGAGACAACAACCATACCCACACAAGGCAGCCACAATTGTACCCTCTTCAACTCACCTACTGGTCAACAACCAATATCAGCTCCTATACCACTTGACCAATGGTAGATAGCAGCCAGCACAAGCTAAATCCACCCTAAACTGAAATGCACAAATGGCCAAAAAGAATAATGTACGTACTTCCATTCTCTAATCACACTCACAGAAGACAGTTGGTAAGAGCTTAAGAACATACCAATACATAATCATCAATTAAATACAAACATGACAACCTCACAATGCCCCAGAGACAACAGACAATTAGCTCACATGAAGAAACAAGAGAGAATGGCTCAAACAAATGAACATGATGCAGAGCCAGAAAATGTTTCTGAGAAAAAAAAGGTCATGGAACTAACTGAAAATGAATTCAAAAGAATTACATCTAGGTACTTTCAAAGGATTTTTTTTTTTTTGAATAAAAAAAAAGGACAGCAAAGAGAACACTGGAAAAACTTTAAAAGAATTCAGGAAAATACTACGAGAACAAACAGTTTTGAAACAATAAAATAAACCTGTAAGTAAAAATCCAGATTAACACTAAATTTTCAAAAGTGGACAATACACTGAAAGGGCAAAGGAGGAGATTTGAAGCAATGGAACGATATCTTCAGCTTGAAGAGAAATCTTTCAATACTAATATGCTAGAAGAGCAATCAGAAGAAAGAATGAAACAATCCAAAGGGCTATGTGGGACGCCAAGAAGAGGAGCAACTT